TTATACAGATAACATTTGTCAAATAAACAATAAATCCAGAAGTCTTTATTTTTGTTCTTCATTTATTTTCTCGAGAATTTGAGCATTTGATTGTTTTCTATTATCTTGCCTTTGTTCTTCTTTGTTTTTTTTTTTAAGAAACCCTTCCTTCAACCTTGTCAAGTTTTGTCCCTCATTCTGTATCCTAAATGCATGTGCTTCCAGGAGTTAAATCTCTGGTCTTCTCCTCATTATCTTTCTTGGTAATTTCATTCACTTCCCTAACTCCCTTTCTCAGCTTGGGGTCTACACGTTCTACAATCTACTAGCCCAATCTACCCACATGTCCAGCCATCCTGAGCTAAACAGACTTCATTTTTTATTCACACTCTCACTCATTCATTTAGCATTTATTGACTACTACATTCTAGACTATCTGTTACAGACTACAAGTACAATACAAATGAAAAAGGGCCTCTTCCCCACATAGCTCTCAGCTACCCTTCTCTCATCATTGAGAACGTCAAGGCAAAGACCCAAGACAAGGAAGGCATGCCCCCTGTCCAGCAGAGATGATAACTGCCAGACAGCAGCTGGAAGATGGATGCACCCTGTCTAAACTACAACACCCAGAGACTCCACTCTGCACTTGGTCCTGTCCCCGAGGCAGGAGATGTGTTTAAGTTCCCTCTCTCTCTTAAACTTTCAACAAATTTCACTGCACTTTTTCTTTCAATAAACTTGCATTCCCCTCTACCCCAAACCCTGGGAAAAGAAACCAAATTCAAACTTCAGAGGCACCTTTGATTCTTTTTTTCTTTTGCTCTTCATTCTTCCTACAAATTGAGAAGTTACTATTCTTTGTATGTGAATCTGAGCTCACAAACATTGTTCATTTGTATATCTTCTTTCTTATGTCTGCAATCAACACCCTTGTTGGAACTTTTTTTTCAGGATTATTCTATCTTCCACAGTGATGATTTTTTAACATGCTGTCACACACAACTCAGTCTCACACAGAGCTCTATAAGAAATCATCTGAGAATCATCATCTGTTCCAAATGCAGTCAGTAGCTTTCCATTGAATACCAAAAAAAAAAAAAAAAAAAACCCAAAAAACCACCCTCTCACTTGGCATTTAAACTCCCTGTCCAACATATGAAGTTGTGCTGAATGAAATTTTTACTTTGTATTCAAAAAAGGGTAATAATTTTCTATTTCATGTGGTACAACTTGACAGTATTCACAGACATTTCCACCCTTTTCTTCTAAGTTCCCTTCTTCTGTCCTGTACTCTAGAGTACAAATGAGATCACTCTATGCTTTCGAAACATATTTACTTCATTTGATTCCTTTGTTAATGTCTGTTCTTCCTGTGGCTCATCCATGAACTCTCCTTTAGTCTCTTCCACCTTGAACACTTCCATTCATTCCTAAGTTCCGCCTGAGAAGAGTCATTCTCCATAAAGCACTGCCTGTGGATCCTTTCTCTGTTGTTAGTCGTCTTGCCCTGGAATGAAGTTCCTTAAGAAGTGATTCAGGTTTCTCTTATGGTACCAATGAGTCTGTGTTACTTCCTTACTGCACACTGCCTTTCCCAACTAAGCTCTGGAAGTATCTGACTGCATGTAAACCCCTTTGAAAGTAGAGGGTCTTAATACACATTTGTGTAATTGTTAGTCCTTCAGTGGGTTTTCTGTATTAGTACATTGTCCTCAAATTTGAATGTGGTATTTTCTCTACTGTTCATTATAAACTTCCTGCTTGTTATTTAGTTTGGCTTTTTAAATCTTTAGTCATCATTTCACCAAAAAAATAAAATCTCTGCATGCTAAGAAATTGGCTATGCCATTTAGCATGTGAATTATCTGGCTAATTTTCTTATATAGATTATGCAATTCAATAATAGTACTACATGGTAATAACAGAAAAATGTTTTACAAAGTAACTTATTTTAAAGTTTCATGATTTATTTCCATTTTTTTCTTGAATATAAAATATTTATATTTTTATGAATACTATTGAATGCCATTGTATTTGAAAACATAGTAACATATACAAGTATATTCACCTGAATACAGTAACATATACTTGCATATTGCTTGCTTAAATAAATGACTAAGGAAAGGACTGTGCCAAAAAATCTGCCAGAAAAAAAATGTAGTGTGCTGTGGTTTATATGAAGGGCTCTGTGGCCAGACCAGGATTGATTGCAAAACTGGAGTCTCAGTTCATTCATCTGTAAATTGATGACCATACCTACCTCCCAAGAGTACAGGGAGAGTTAAATGAGATAATATATGGTAAGGGCTTAGGATATGATCTGGTACATAGTTAATAACAAAAAGTTATAGCTTTCTTAACAATGAAAATTCTATAAAGCTACTAGGATTCCAGAAGTTTCTTTGCAGATTCCTTAATTATACAGAGTGAATATCTACAAATATGCTTCTATCTCTCTACAAGGGTATTTCAAAAAGTTCATGGAAAACAGAATTAAAAGCTAATATGCATTTCTGTGAACTTTTTGAAGATTTCTTGCATATTTCTTAAATGTTTTGTTGCTCATTATGGACTCATTAAGTATGACATCATTTCTAGTATTACATTTAGAAAGAGAGAGAGAAAAAAGGCTCCCTCCTCTCTGCTGCAGCAGACTCTTGGCTGAAGCCATGTTGAGCAATAAACAAAGTCAAGGCTGAGAGTATTCAGGAAGCATCCACAAGGAAAGCTCATGCTGCAGTTTGACATTTCCCCCTAGTTGATTAAAGTGGAAGGGGACATTTCAATAATTCTTTCTAGCTTAACCTAAAATTAAAAAAAAATCCTCTTTCATATCACCTGGGGAAATGCCTACACATGATTGATTTGCTGTTATACCTAGTGCTAAACATCCAATTCACTATTATTTATCAGAGACATATTAAAAATATTTTAAGTAACTAAAAATATCAAATATCTGTTTCAAAGTATATAGTCTCATGAAAAGCAAGAATAAAAAAAATAAAGGAAATATTTATGAATTCATTTATGTATTTAATACTTTTAAAATATTTATTAGATTCCTACTGTGGCTTGGGTACTATCATATGTACTAAATACATGAGCAAATCATCAAAGGAATTAATCATCAAGACAATATTGTTTTACAATCAGTATAAATAGATATCTGATTAGAAGCCAATAGTCAAATTCTGATCTGATGGCTGCTTTTTTTTTTTTACACAAATCTGTAAGCACACCCTTAGATAAATTTTAAAATGGTTCTAGAAAATTTAGGCACCAGCAACCTCTTCTACATACGCCACTTCTCCAATAACTAGATAAGTAGTAATAGAGCTTAATAGTTCCTACTGACGATATGCTGAAGACATTTTTTAGCAGTTAATTAATAATAATATCCTTTTCAATTCTTACAATATTCAAAAGTTCAAAATTAACATAATGAGTTGCCAAATGAGTCTGAAGGTTAGGAAATGGATCCTCATGTAAAATATGTGCTGTATGGATTTAGTTAGGTAAGAAAATACCAAAAATTTTCACTTCCCTAAGTGAAACCTAAAAGGAGAATGGTCTCATAGATTGTACCACATCAAGGAGGAATAGTAAGTTCTGTTTGGGTTTTCATATACGATTCCATCAAGTTATTTCCAAGGAAAAATGCAATATAACTTCATGTGTTTCTGAGACTAGCCTACTCAATTTTGTCAGTATCTGAAACCAAGTAATTTCCTTTTTTAGAACACCCTGTTTTATTTTAACAGAATTCATTCTCCTGTTCAAAATTCTTATGTGATGCTGCCTACACTCTGGAAGGCTGCAGACAGTGTCATCTGCCCCTTACTTCTCTCCCACAATCACTACCCACAGCAGCAAGGCTCTTAAGAAGTGCTTGTGGAATGAATAAATTAAATTTCTCATGATTATACACTGCAGAGAAAATCAGCCAAGGACAATGCATTAGTCTCCTTCAGCTGCTACAAATCTTTACATTCACAGGTGTACATCACCTACTTGGGGCATTTCAGGGTCAGCAAGTTGAACACCAGCCATTTTTAAAGTATATTATAAAACCTAAGTTTATTGCATGCAATATTTTCATCTGATATCTTGTGGGGAAATACTATATGGATGTCAAGGAAATGTTTTAATGGCGCTATTGATCATCTCAGTAAAGCAGAAAATGTCTTCCATTTTTTTTAAAGGCAAATCACAAATATAGGCTTTCTTGATGTGAAAATATACTAAAGTTAAAGATAATGTTAAAAAATTAAGGAATATGTAATGCCCAATGTTGCCCTCTCAAATCAATATGAATCTTGATGCTGAATTTGGAAATTAATATTTTTCATATAAGACATAAGGCCCACAATTGATGGATTCGGCTGCTTTCATGGCAAGATAAAGGATTACTTTCTTATGCTGCCAGTTCTGAATAAAGCATACATAAAATCAGTTCTTTGAATAAATAATAACCATGACCTTTAAGTATATCAATTGTTAAAGACTAAAGCATCAATGAAGAAATTAGAATTTTTATTTGCAAAACCCAACAATACTGAGTCATTCCTGGGTTTCCATCTCTTATGGCTCATTCTACATTGGAAGGGTAAGCCATTTCATTTAACCATTTAAAAAAATCATTCATCAGGAGGATTTTTCCATACAAAATCTTAGTTAATATATTTCTCTTAAAATCAAACTGATGAATTTTTATTAAGATGGAGATTTTTGGACATTTTAAAAAACGTTGCAATGTTACATTCCAACAATTAGATATGCTGATTTCTTAAAAATAACTTACAATATAGACAAAAGACATAATTCTTCAGGCTTCTTTTAATCCAAATAAATATGGATAATGGTATTATTTGCACCGGAAATCATAAATGCTATCGACAATAATCAACATAGCCTTAAAGATAAAAGGCCAACTGTGGAGAGATTAACTAAAATAAGAACATTTTCCAATTCTTCCCTGATTTTCCCTCATTTAAACATCCAAACAAAACATGTGGTACCTTTTAATTTTCTGAGTGAGTAGTTCCCAGTCAATGCTTCTTCGGTTGGAGACAAGAGGAAGAATCTATTGAAAGAAAACAAAAGGAAAAAAATATATAGGTTTGTTAAATAAATATCAAAAATGGCAACTCACCAGTAAGCAAAAGCATTCTTTATATCCAAATAAGTCTATGCCTTACGATTTACAGTACAAAATATGCAGTACTTGAATTTTTAAGAAGCTCAATAATGAATTGAAAAGCATTTCACTCGGAGATCATATAAAGCAGATCCTTTGAAAAACAGAATAAAAACAAAACAAAATAAAAAGCCCCAAACCATTACCAGCGCATATGCAGCAACACCCCCCAAGTCTAGCCTTTGAAAACTGCTGCAGAATCTTCCTCCAGGACCATTATCTCCAAAGGCTGGCTCCCTGGCTTTCCAGCTCCAGACAGACGCAGTCTGCAAGCCACCAGCTCGCGTCTGTGTGTGTCGGGGAAGGGAAGCTGCAAATTAGAAAAAGTCCCCGCAGTGGCGAAAAGGAAAATAAGGCGAGTGGGAGAGGGAGAGAGAGCTCACTAGCCTCAGAATTTTCGAGAATGATGACAAGCCACTCAGCTCCGCCATCATTCACTGACAATAGGATGCAGTCGTGGCTTACGATTTAGCGGTTTGCCATAGGGGCTTCTGGTACCAAATGCCTGACAGGCATTTTAATTGTCTCCATCCAAGTGTGTCCCCTGGAGTCGAGTCTATAAGCCTATGAATGTCATCATCTGGTCTCCTTTGTGTTAATGCCAGACGCGCGCGCGCAGCGCGCACACACTCTCTCTCACACACATCGTGCTGAAAACTTAAATGGACAGTTTTCAGGCACAGATGATTTACAAACAAGGTAAACTGCATGAACAGGACGTGAGTAAATGATAGATTATAAGTGTTTTTATTAACTTCATGGAGGATGCCGGAGATTATTTAATGTTTTGTCATTGGCAAATAATTTGAATATTTTTAAAACTGGTAGATATTGGTAGTTTATATTACAAAATAAATGTGTCCGTTAGAGAAATGCATATATTTACATATATTTTCCTACAGAAAATTTAATTCCCCTTGTAACTATGACAATTGCGCACTTGGCAATGTCTTCCTTACAAGGGCGAAAGCAAAACACAAAGAGGGTTAGGAAACCAGGATTGATAAGTGATTTTGTGGACAATCTATTTTATTCCGTTTACACACAAAAGCAAAAGGAGATGGCAACTAGCTTGAGTACTGGAACTGTGCAGTCCCTAAGGGCCAAGGTGAAGAATTGAATCTCTAGCATAATCAGAATCCCTTCATGCTATCAACTGAAATTAACAGTTAAATATTCCTGTTTTACAGTGCCCCTTATGTAGGGAGGTTAAGTGTGGAGTAACTCCCTGCATTTATTTCATGAAGAAGAAGGAAAGAGGAAACTGTTAATAAATTAATTATTTTTACGGCATTGTTAACGCCCTGCACCAGTGAATGGAACAAAATTCGACGTCTACCAAAAGGACCAGCTGAGAACAAGGGTGCTGGGAGGGAGCATCTCCATGGTTACCAGAAACAGAAAGTAAGGGGAATGTACAAGCTGATGCTAGAGACGAGGGGGATGAGACCCAGTGGAGGGAATTTACAGACAGAATCTTCCTTCTGGAATGATTTGTCTCTATGAGTTTTATGCTACATTTTGAATTCATTAAGATGAATTTGTACTCTTCCTTCAGCCATTCTTCTGCATTTTTTGATCCCTAGCTAATTTTGCTTCCATAAATATTTAAGGTATGGTTCTTTTGTATGAGATCGATCCTGCCACTCCTTGCTTACATCTATATACTAGATTCATGGAAATCACTCAACCTCGCCCACACTCTTTGTTTCATAGCTGGGAAAGCTGAGGCCCAGGCAGTCTGACCAAGGTCACCAAATAGAGATACCAGCCAGTTCCTGACTCAGTCCCTGCTTTTCTTCTCTCACTGAGTGACCCGCCTTCTCTTCTTTCTCTTCTGTTTACAAGCAACAGATTCCAGAAACATCCTTTGTCTTTGATCCTGTAAACCTTTTATTTGCTAAGGCAGTACTCTCCCTCCTTAAAATACATTGCAATCATTCTGAGAACTAGCTTTGCTTAATATTCGTGCTGCACGAATTTGAGGTCTGAAGAATATGGGGTAATTATGGAAACAGCTTTTCTTTCATTTCCAATCTGGCAATCACATGAATCAAACATGATTGCCTTTTTGTAGATTTACGTTGTTGAGCCTGAACTTAATCAACATATACTAGGCACTCTGTCATTGTGAGCATCATTCTTTCCACACATATGACCTTTCATGTTGAGGCAGACCCCCCAAAGTTCCCCTTATTACGGACATTCCAAAACGTCCTGAGGTTATCCGAAACAATGAAGCTGCAAAATTGAAAGCCCGAGTAAAATAAAAAAAAAAAAAAAAATTAGAAAAAAAAAAGGAACATTGACTCAAAAACAACCACTGGAGGGCGCAGTATTTGTTAAAATCTTTCTGAACTACTCAGTAAAAATTATGGTTAGGATTTGACCTTGATATTTTATTATTTTACTTTCTTTCAAAAGTGTCCTTTCAAAATTCAATTCTTATGACTCATTGCTTTTAGGTTAATTCATCTGTAGATGGAGTCACGCTACATTTTTTCTATCTAAAATACAGTTGCTGCCAACATTATCATTCTCTTCCTCCAGTACAGCAGCTATAACACGAATAAATCACATTTTTAAAAATATGATTACCAGAGGCAATAATTATGAGAGATTTCAGGGCATAGTGAATCCTACACACAGGCTAGTATTTCTCCCACTCCCAGTGCTCCTTGAAACATGATCTTTCTGTTAAATGCTTATTTTTATTCAGTGATTTCAGACAATATATTGTCATCTGTTCACTTATGAACACACAAAAATGATGTATAAAATTACCATTTCTTGAAATATGTATCATATTCCACCAGATCGCATAAACTCACATACTAGTCCTGGTTAGTGTAAGAAATAGCACAACTTTCAAAAACACTTAATACTTTCTGCTCTTAATATGTCATGTTTTAAGAATACAAGATGACAGATAACTGAGAGACTCATGAATTTTTAGATTTTCATGTTTATGCCTATGAAGCTGAACTGTGTTTCTTTTCTTTCCCTTCCTCTCTTTGACAATAGTTTAGACCTTAGCACAATTCACCAGTTCATTTAACCAACTCTGATGACACATATATGTATTTTTCAGACACTTGATAGTTTCTAGGGATGAGACAAATGTGAAACAGTATTTACTACTTTGAAGCATTAGTTATAGTGGGGGAAGTAAACAGAGACCTAACTTTACCTTCTTTCTCTCACTTGGATGAGATCATATGACTCTGCCCCTCTGGTGTATCTGTATCTTTGCAGATGCTGATGTGCAAGAATCTGGTTTAACTGTATTCCCAAATTAAGTGAACTCACTCCCCTGGCTCTTTTGGAAGACCCATGGTTTCATTCTCTAAACAAACTAATTTGTGTATTGGTGCGTAACTCTTTAAACTGTTTAGGAATGAATAATGGAAGCATATCTTTCGTACCGCCTTGAAGCCTTTGCTCTCACATGATCTTCTTGATTAGGGCTTTCTTAACTAGAAAATGAATATTGCAGCCATGCCCCAGCACAATCCTTAGTTGCTATTCCATTTTCCCTCTTCTGAGCATGAAGAGCTGATAGCCCTATGCTAGATAATTTGCAAAATTCAAAGTAAGCAGAAATCTTTATTTTAAATAAATGAATATCTATAATGGAAATCATCAAAATATGAATTTTATGGCAATGAGTGATTATACTCCAATAAAAAGTGATATTCATGAGGGAAGCAATGCATAGAATAGGGAAAACAATGTAGGATTCAGTGATTTTTCTTGGGTTTAGATACTCTAGTTCATCACTGTGATTTTTTTTTTTTTTTTTGAAAGAGAAGGAGAAATAGAGAGGGAGATCTTCCATCCTCTGGTTCACTCCCCAGATGGCCACAATGAACAGTGCTGGACCAGGCTGAAACCAGGAGCCTGGAACTTCATCCCAGGTGTCCCCTAAGGGTAGAAGGGGCCCAAACACTTGGGCAATCTTCTACTGCTTTTCCCAGGTCATTAGCAGGGAGCTAGGTCAGAAAGGGAGCAGCTGAGACATAAACCAGCACCTCTATGGAATGCTGGCATCACAGGCAGCAGCTTTGTCCACTATGCCACAATGCCAGCCCCCACTGTGATTTTCACATTCATTCATTTGAAAAATATTTCTGTGTGCCTCTGTGGTCCAGGCAGTTTTAGGTGCTTTGGCTCCACCAATGTCCAAACATGTAAAGACGACTGCCTTCATGGAGCTAGCCAATGAGGTTGGTACAGATGGAGCATCTTACTCCAAAAATCTGAAATAAAAAATGCTGCAAACCTCAATATTTTTAGGTACCAAAATGATTCCACATGTGGAAATGTCCACATCATAAAACTTTGTTCCATATACAAAATTGTTAAAATATTGAATAAAATTGACTTCCTGCTATAAGGTATATATGAAACATAAATGAATTTCATATTTACACTTGAATCTATGAGCTTGTTTGAAATATCAGATTTTGTGTTTAAATAAGTTTAATTTCAGTTTTTACATTTTAAAAATTAAAAAAAGATAATGAATTAATACTTACTAATGGCCAAAGTATTTTCAAATCATTTTTCACCAAGCCAGTTATAATAACTATGTGTACTTTAAAAATTAAAAATAGAAATAGTAATTATATGTTCATTTTGAATTTGTTATTGTAAATATAATAGGAAAATGTTATTTGCAAATTATTTTGATATCCAAATTCCAAATGTTTCCTTATTTGCTATAGATGATATCTTTTCTTCCAACAAAGTTGATCCAAACAAAAAGTGTAATGTGGTCAAACAGCAAAAGAAAGCATCATAGTTTTCACTTTAGTCTGAATTACATGAAATACTGAAATTTTATTATGTCTTACCTACAAAGAGGCAATTTCATATGTTTTGAC